CGGTCGATCGGATCCTTGAATCCTCGCCTGTGTCAACTCCTCGTTCGCCTTCTTCAATTGCTCCCTGATGGTCATGATGAAATTGTCCTGATTATTAGATCGGTTGTTGAGCTCCTCATTCTCTTCTGATAACCATTTGATCTTGCTTGTATACATTGCTTCCCTCATCTTCATCTCTTCAGCATATTCGTGTTTGTTCCTGGCACTCTGCCTTTGTATTCCAACTAACTCCTGCCTGCACAGGTCCTTGACGTTCTCAGCATCTGCGATTGTAGTCATGACCTCGGTTACGGCTCGATCTCTTTCCGCCGATATAGCCTGGCTCTCTTCCGTGCCGATGTTCACAACTTGACTAACCATCTCTGCGCTGTTGCGATCAGCGTACTCCCCTAACTGGGTGAGACGATCCCGCATTGCCACACGATCAGTGTCAATCTGGTATTGCAAATCGTGCGCTGCTGAGAGCAAACAGTCTCTGGATTCTGTAAGTTGGGAGATCCTTCGTTGATTTCCATATCCTTCGACATAACATTCTTCGAGGTGTGCCATCACTACTTCGTGGACTTCGGTCTCGTGTTGTATAATCTGGTTCTGTCTCTGCTCACATTCGACCATCCATGCGTTTTGGTGGTTCAACATATGCACTTCGGCAAGTAGTTGTGCACACTTCGCATTGAGGTCTCCATCGGCCCGTGCTAGCTGTAGGTTGTCAGTGCTTGCCCTTGCTCCATCTCCAGCTTCGCTGTCCGACGGTACTGGTACAGTTGACCCATCCTCCAATGCTAACACTCTCACTGCTCCGGTGTCAGTCCTCCTCCTTGTCTCCCTAGGGCTACGGCCTGACCTCGGTGTCCCCCCCGGTGGTGTCGATTGCGCTGACGGGGAACGACTTCGTGCTCTACCTGTCGCAACTTCTCTCACCACTGTCAGAGTCTCCGCTTCGATCGTACCTGGACTAGAGTTGTGGGATGCACTCATCCGATCTGCGGCCGCAGCAGCTGCTCCAAAAGATGCAGTGCTGGCGTCGGATTGGTCCATCTTCAGTGACTGAGGGTAACTGATCTATCCGATGCGTGTGCGTTTAGATGGTGTTGTGTAAGGCCGTAGCTCGTACCCAGCTCAAAGGAGTCTGGATACGGCTGATAACCTGCGAACGGATGGAAAGTTGTGCCCTGGCCCCGTTCTAGCCCTTAGTTCAACATGAAGCTCGCGCGCTAAAGCTCCTTTTTACCTGGTTGGGCACTTGAGCCAAAAGTATATGGCATGTACCTGTATAGCAACTATACTGGGACCTCATCCCTATTGACATCTTTACAATGAGGTTTGCAAGTGCCAAATGCTCTCAAAACGTGGTTTCACGCTTTCGGTGGTCCTTAGGTACAACCACGAAGGTGTGGCATGTTTGATCCTAGAGTGCAATCTCAATGAATAAACAGCAACCCTTGAATTGCGCAGGTTGAAGCTCAAAGACTCTTGAAGGTTGGAACTGCCGGCATGACAGGTCACAAAATTGATCCGCAAGTCACGCGCGACGGCTCCAATGCCAAAGAGGCAGAATATATTCGGCTCAAGTACATTTAGGCAAAGCATGCAATGGAGCAGGTGGCTGACGAGCTTACTTTGTCAACCCAATCTTGCTAAAGCAACCTTCTGCAAAACTATGGTTTCTGGCCGCCTGAGCACTGCAGGGCTGACATAGCCGCTACCATCCAGATCAAAGGTCCGTCGCACATCAATCCCCGCAAGGCGGTCCTGGAGGCAATCGGCAATCTGAACGCAGCACCAGGGCGAAGGCACTTTGTTCAAAACATGATCAAACTTTTCAAGTTGCCCGCAACGTGGGGCAAAGCTCTGAGTCACTGAGGCTGATCGGAAAAGCGGAATCTGTCGGGGCGGGATCTTGCCTACATATAATATATATATATATATATCATCTAGAGTAGGGAAAGAAAAAATAACTGTGCAGTTGACAAGCGCAAAAGGAGTACAGTGGTTCTTGTCAAGCGATGGCAATGCACCTGCTGCCTGGCAAGGTGGGGGCGGAAATTCTACAGAACATGACTATAATAGAGACCCCGACGTAACCCATAGATCGACAAGAGTCCCGCACTACGCCAACCATGCCACTCACCAGCGGCACACCGCATTTACACACATGTTTGCTTTTCCTCAATGGAATGGCATGGAGCCACGTAAACGCCGAGGCCTCACCAAATCGCATGGCACAGCGATCTGGTGAAAATAATTTCGCCACACCGACTGCACTTGCACTACAAAGGTGCCAGTTCTGAGCCGGGAGCTTCCAGAAGCTACTCCACGCGCTACATTTATATTTACTGGCTATCTCTCCAAAAAGTATTTCGTGCAGACCTCCGCAAATCTTGACATCATGAACGAGACTTCCTCGAATCTTGACATCTTCAAGCTTCAAAGTTGAGCATTTTGTGCGAGACTTCCTCAAGTTTTGACATCTTCAAGCTGTAAATAGGCATTTCATGTCAGGCTTCCTAATTTTTGACATCTTCAAGCTTCAAAATATATAAGCATTTCGTGAGGGACTTCCTCAAACATCGCGTCAAAATGAGGGTTTCGCATGAGACTACCTTAAATTTTGATATCTGCAAGCTGCAAAAACGCTTTTTGCGCGAGACTTCCTCATTTCTGACATCTCTGAGGCCCTTGTACAAGACTTCCTCCAATGTTGACAACTTAAAGCTTCAAAATCGCATTCAGTTCGAGATTTGCTCCACTTTGCCCAGGTTAAAGCTTGAAATCGCACATTTTGTGAGACACTTCCTCAACAGCTCAAAGCTGAGCAACTCTGATACAGTACTGTTGCTGGCAACTGCTGCTACTTGCACCATTGTTGCTGTGCGACGGTTGCTTACGCTACTGTTGCTGTGCAGCTGTTGCTTACGATAATGTTACCGTGAAACTGTTACGCTACTGCCGCTAGTGTCCCTGTGCAACTGCTACTTGCACTACTTTTAATGTGCAACTGTTACTGGCGCTACTGTGGCTGCGCAACTGCTACTTACGGTTCTGCTACTATGCAACAGTTACTTACGTTATTGTTGCTGTATAGCCGTGACATACGCTACTGACACTGTGCAGCTGTTGCTTCCATTACTGTTACTGTGCAACTGTGACTTGCTTGCGTTACTTTTAGTGTGCAAGTGTTACTTACCTTCTAAATGTCCGTGACATCAAGTTTTCCAGTATATAAACTTCCTTTGACACAAGTATCTGCCACATCCAGGGTTCTTTTTATACAAATTCTAGACTCAAGACCGCCACTTCTGTTCAAAATAGCAAATCAACAGCAACAGCACGGGTCCATCACATGGGCCAACATCCTCTCTCTAGGCGACATGCTCCTGAAATGCATGGATGCGATGGATCGAAAAAATCATCCTTTGAATTGCTCTCAGTTCGGGCGTGATGCATTCAATGCTGCAGGGTTTGCTGGGTCCGCGGCTGCTTTTTGGCACAAGGCCTTGGGGATATCGTCACAGTTAGGCCAAAGAAAGCATTTGCTGCCCGTCTGACATACAAACCCACACGCATCAGCGTATGATGTATCATGCAAGCGCGTTGATCCGTTCCATCTGTTTAGTTTACACAACAGTGAAAATGCCACATGAGTGCAATGAGGCCGTCTTGGAGACATTGAAAAGAAACTGTGCGACTGGCAATTGTCCCTCCCTCACTCTCTCTCTCTCTCTCTCTCTGCATCTGTCTACGCATACTGTAAACTGGTGCATATATATATATATGTACAAACCGACATACGCTCATGGCTAGTTGCTCTGCAAACCTCTCCAGCATCTTGGTCTTTACACAGAGCCAAGAGCATGACTGGTCGACGTCCAGCGGACCCAAAGGCCGCATGCAGCCTGCATCAAGATAGAATGTGGAAAACCGGAAGCAACTACTGACTTAGGCGTACAGTGTTCAAAGAAAACCTCATCCAGAGAAAGGCCTCACAACATGTGACTGACCAACCCAACAGCAAAGCGACTTCCCCACCCAGTCTCTCACACCAATCTGAACCACTCTCACGCCAACTGGAAACCAACCCTTCGATCAGTGCACCCTTTTTGGCGCAGTGTGAGATTGTCAAGCAAACACGGTTTTGATTCAATACCAAACCCAAAAGAAGGAGAAATAGGAAGCATCTTGAGTTGGTGAAGTTCGTTGCTGTGATTTTGAGAAACTGTCAAAGTAAGAGACATGTTGGCTGGATCCAGGAGAGTTTGCCAAAAAGGGAACATCTGATGTCTGTTCTGTCTTTCTTTGGTGTCACCTCCTTGCCGTTCACAACGCAGACCATATGCTGACCCCACCTCTGGTCGATCCTTGACTGCTGAGAAATCTGTCACCCATGGCTGCAGCACTTTGGCTGCTTGGATGTTTTGAGGGACTTGTTCCTCAAAGTTCCTGAGAAAAGCCCTACCACGGCTGATCTCTCTCTCTCTTTCTCTAAGACAATGTGTATATATATACTAATATAGTCATATAGTATATCGGGAGGTGTTGCCAAAGGAGAATCTTGTTGCTCTTGATGCCGTGTATCAGCTAAGTAGCCTTAGTCGCCCTTTCCAGTCCCGGCGTGTGTATGTGTGTATGTGTTGAGTTGTTGAAGGGTTATCAAGAATTGCATGTGTCTGTGGCTCTGGTGCTGTTTGTCTCTTTCTGGAAAGTTGCCTGCCCACCCAGCATTGTGAAACCTGCGGTCCCGGCAAACAAATTGCTTGTGGCCAGCTTGGCGTCCTTCAACCCAAGGAACACATAAGAATTCACAAACCATTTCGCACTAGAATAGGATGCAAGAAAACTGAAACGTTTCCTGGCCACACCCTCTCGCTCGAGCACATGCGGGAAACCCTTCCTACACTGCAGTTTGTTTGGAGAGTTCGTCGCCTCACGCTGAAAATTGTCCGCCCGGGCTCATTTTTGTTCACAATCACAATCACCCAAGCGTGTGCCCGGCCCAGGCGTCAGAATCGAACAGTCTTTCGGAGCTCCTTCAAACCTTTGGCTGTGCAAATTGGCTGGACATTTTCTATGGTCGCCCACCTCTAGTAGCTACTGGAGCTCTCAGGAGCTACCGGTTGACTGAATGGGCGATACATCATGACTTGTGATGTTGGATATGCTTTGCAAATACGCCTGCAAAGAGAAAAATAGTTTGGGGCGACAGCAGGTGCATTGTCCGTTAGCTATAGTCATATCATACCCTTCTTCTGGATTGAGATCGTGTTTTTTCTTGCGTTTGGGGGTAAGGCATTAATACCATCAAGGTAAGACAGGCTTTATGATGCCCTGTTTCCAAAGAGTTTCCAACACCATGCATAAACTTGACACCACTTCTGGGGTGCCAGCGTTCGTCCGCTTTCATCGCACGATTTCGGAGCCTCATCACTTGGTTTGTCAGTTTGTCACTCTGCACGAGCTTCAAACACTGTCAAACACGTTTGCCTTCACATCTTTCCCAGCAGCAGTAGGTGTGTTACCACTTGAACTCTCACTGAGGTAGTGTCTCTTCCATCTGGGGCAGCTTCATGGAATTCACTCGCACACTATCGACCTGCACTTTGCTACACAAAACTGGGCTGAGAGGCCCAAAAATGCCTGCACATACACAACTCAGAAGCTCAACCGGCCCATTTGAAGAATGGATTTCAACACCCAGTCTCTCGACTGCAAACCATCCAGGTGCAGAACACTTTGCAACAGCGTGTCGATGAAGCCAGCCACCTTTCGCTCTGCACATCTTCAGTGATTGAAACGCCTCTTTCGCTTGCTCTCTGAAGCCCGCACCTCTGTTAGCTGCAGTGATGTCTCTGCATCGGAAAAGTTTGCTTCGACCTCTTCGAGCGGAAACGGAGGTGCAACCTTCTGAGGGAAAGAGCCGTCTCAGCAAAGCTGTGACCAGTGACCAGTATACATTACGGCCAACAGCTCGCAGCAACATATTACCTACAGCTCGCAGCTACTGCACTTGGATTCCACACCCGCTTGGACAGAGACATCAACCTTGCCTCTGCCTAGCAATACGCTGAGCATCTTTGTCGTCGATGCGGCTTCTCTGTCCCCTTCTACATTGCTCTACAGTCCTCAAAAGGTACAAAATCTGTCAGGATACCTACTTGAAAACCAAAAATGCAAAAATGGTGGAAAGGGCGGTCGAAGCGTCTTTGTAGTGCGGTGCCTTCTTTCATCGAAGTCCATGTCATGCTCGCCGCTCTTGGTTGCGAGCTTTGCAGGCTACAAGAAAGAAAGCGAACAAAAGTACCTAGCAGACCTGGCCAAACGTGGACAAACTTCGAATGTAAAGACAGCCAGGTTGCTTAGTTGTGCGCTGAAGCCAGGGCACGTGATATCATGATATCCGACTTTCTGTGATATATGATACTTGAGGCCAACGGGGGGGGGCGAAAGCTAGCGCTCCAGAATGGGAAAGTGGAGGGCAGCGAGGTAGAATGGGAAAGTGTTTCACTCTCGTCAACATCACTTGCAATGAGGGATAAAATCACACCAGGTGCACGATTTACAAATACATCTCGAAGCCGAATAGGCTTTGGTAGCAGCGGGTCTGCATGGAGTAGCAGAAGGCAGGACGCCTTGCACAAGTTGGGCGGGGCAAACGATTCCAGGTGAAGAGTCCTTTATATGTGGCTCTTTGCCCGGATCCTCCTGCGAGAGAAGAGAGAGAAGAGAGACGGAAAGACGAGAGACAGAGAGGAGAGAGAGAGAGAGAGGAGAGAGAGAGATGAGAGAGAGATGAGAAAGAGATGAGGGAGAGCTGAGAGAGAGATGAGAGAGAAATGAGAGAGAGATGAGAGAGAGAGAGAGACAGTGAGAGTGAGAGTGA